TCTCATTTAACCGCAGCTCGTTTTTTTGCTAAATTACATGGGTATCGAGTCTTGTTAAAATTACACCACTGCAGACTTACGATGATTGACACGATAACGACGATGCGTCAACCTCGGACTCGCTAACAGCTGATGAAAATGGCGAACTCTGTGTCGAATCGGCTGACGAATTTTGGCCAGGTGATGTGGCACTATCACATTGCATTTCTGAACAAAATAATAAACCATTATCACAACAACAGCAAATTCGTCTAGACAAAAAAAAAACAGTTCAATTGAAATTTTGTTTTTGTCGTTTCAGAGCTCCTCACCGATAAATTTCCGATGAGTTCACAGCGTTATAAGAGCGGAAACGCTTGGAACGAGGTGACGATGCTCAAAACACACCAAAGACATCATCAGATTGGCAAAGTTTTGCAAAGGAAGTCGTTGAGATGGCAGCAAACCCTTCAGAAGAGCGCCACAAGGAGATGCAGTAAAAGGTAAAGGTAGCCGAAGGGTGCTAGCTGTATAACTGAAAAGCCAAACCATGAATTAGAACTGACCAAAACCCCCATGCAAGAATGTTTATTATAGGAAAAAGAGAGAAATTCATTTGATCGGAGACAGATGGTTTCAGAAATGAGCAGAAAAGAAAGCTGCCGCACTGCATGATCGACGTCAACGGCAGCTGATCAAAGAACTCTCCCATCCCAAAATAAAAAGTAATGCATCAAACTGGAGAAGAAGGAAAACAACGAAAAGAGAAAAGAGGCCAAAAGAGCCTTTGTGATTGTAATAGCAAATGGAGGATAAAAAAAAGCTCAAATTTGAAGAAATGAGATGAATATCATGATTATTAGCAAGCTGCTAGTGCAGCACTGGCCAAAGCGGATGGAAAAGTTGCCAGCTATATAGTTGGAGAACCAGCATGCGAATTATAGTTAATTCAAGCATTCCAAGCAACAGTGAATTGAGTGCCAAGTAACAATCCTATTAGGTATGCAGAATACCTCAAATTAGGAGTAAATTTTTAATTCGAAAATATCACAATTGAGAGGCACCACTACATACAAAAAGGTATTA